AATTCAATCAAATAGAGTTTTAGCCATCTAACCAGTTTCCCCGCAGCAGTTGTCTAGTAGTCACTTCCGTGGTTGTATTTTCACCCCGGTAATAAACTACGCCGCGTCCAAGGGTACGCCTTTAAATTAACATCACGTTATCTTACGTACCGCCGACCAGCTGAGATTGCGGGATCATATGTAAGATTTCGCCGCTTAGAGCCGTTTTTGATCATCCGTGCTCTTTCCCGCGTTCCAGACTCTGTGGAACGCAAGCCACGTGGTAATTAATTCTTGTCAAATAAGTGGGTCTGGAGGTCTAACTTGTTAGTGGAATATGACCTCTGGATTTACTGAATAGGATTCAACTGTGGCTTCTCGCCTATAACAAACTGTTACCCAGACAAGTCTTCAATCTCGAACGCAATTCATCTCATTTTTATTGATCAGAATTATAACTTCTTGCAGAGTTCATTTCTGAAGGTCTTGTTGAAGAAGAAACGGAGAGAACAAATTCTCTGGGTATCAAAATCGGTACTTGGAACAGAGTTATCCTAACTAAACACTGCATATTATCAAATTGCTGATGTGAGTTTATGCTTTCTTGCTTCAATCAACTATGTCACTAAAACAGATAGTCTGTTAGCAGAATGTCCTTGTCGCAAACGTCGCACACGTGTTTATTCTGTGAAAGTACCACAAAAGGTGGTCTTTTTTGCTCGAGGGAATGTCGCAGTGCTGTCCTCAGTAATTCAACATCCACAATAGACCCTACGGCTTGCAGGAAAGAGAATTATACTGATATTAAATGTGGATGGGAATCACTGAAACATATCTCTAGAGATTATGAGAAGACCCAAAGGTCTTCCTGGTTGGGGACAGACGAGAAGTCTCGACGCGAATTAAAGGACTATGAAAGCTCATTCGATTGGATGAGGCTTTGGAGAAGACATGCTTTTCATTCATAGACAGAGTTCCATCTATTGTACCATACTTACTCTAGCAAAACATATGCTATAATAAACTGCAGCGAGTCATAATCAGTCCTCAAGTCTATGGACTGTTTAAAGTTTGAGGATATAGAATCGTATCGAAGAGATATGTAGAGACTATCAATTACGCGTGGAGCAGTATATTCTTTCTAGTTATGCGCTAGTAATCATTGTAAAATGCTGCGATTACCCGATTTGTAAACATCGAGTCTTGTCAAAGCGAGTTTACTCTTTAGAGACTTTTTCATTGTGATGGGAAAGACCAATTTGACATTTACTGTGGTGGTCAGATAGCATTACGACTGGGTTGTACCACCTTTTATTGAAATTCTTTCAGGTATGACTCAGTCAAAGAGGTACATAGAGATAAATGGCACATAGATGATTTGCTTGAAGGACATATACTGGGTTATTATAGGTACTGTGGAATACTTTTGCTACCCATCTCCTAGGTCTGCACTAATAATGAACAAACTCTGCATCGGTCGCGCAAGCCCTCGTTATGAAACAGCCTTTCCCAGTGAAGTTTCGAAGAGGCAGTAGCCCGATTTCGACAAGACTGTGGCTCTAAGTCATAAATGATCTCAAAATTTGACCACATCATTCAGCACCCTTGAAACCAAGTACTCTACTATTTGAATGTTCGGATTCAAGAAACGATCGAGCTCGCAATCATCTTTAAGAAGAAGTAGCATTGTTGTGTCCACCCCTTGAGTCTTGCATAGCTCTTTATGCTCATTTATGTCGACTGTGTAAATATCTGGTAGTTCAAGTTCTGTATCCGATTGCAAAAAATCAACAGCACTTCGTAAGAGGTGGTCCTGTTCTGAACCCTCATGAAATAGTACTATCAAGAAGACACAATCGTTGCGAAGATTTTGGTAGTGAGATAGACTGTTTTGTTGTTTAGATTCAGCGAATAATCCTTGTTATCCTGGTTTAAACTCATGAAGGGACATACCTGTTGATCCTCATTAACTGCATTGTTCTTAATACTGGATCTCTTGATGGCTCAAATCCAATATTCCAGGACCGAATCTCACTAGATAATGCTCTGGGTTGACAGTGCGAGGTTTTAAGTCATCTTTCTCACTGGCGCCCGTGTATATGTTATAATGCAAGCATTATGACGGCATTGCCAAGGCCTCTGTATCCATCCCAGCCAAGGCCCGTAATCGTTAGACCGGCAAAATTCCCGATCTCAAGTTCAGAAGCTTGTATTAATCGAATAGCTGATCTGGAAATTTGTTGTTGGAATCAGCATCAATATAAGGGCGTACATCGCTCGATGATTCGACAAGCTATGTAGATTGTTCGGCAATGGTATTACGAACCGC